CATAGTTTGTAGGAGACCCCATATATACAACCCGTCTGGAAAAATAAATACTCAGTCGCTGCGAGAGAGCTGGCTTGAAAGTCTTGCACACTACAGTGCGGTGTGCTGCGGCCCACTGCGCGAGTGCGTGGTCGGCCCAAGAGGCGCTGCGGTTGCCATGGCGACCGCTGGCGCGCGGCGCGGCGCGCCTTCCCTGCCGCGCGAATCTGAGTTTTCTTCTTACTCCCCTCCCCTCCCCTCACCGCCCCTCCCCGCCCCCACCGAAACAAGAAGAAACATTGAGGGCGAGGCCGGTCTCAGCTGGGACGGAACGGCGCTCGCGGGGGCAGACGCGGCTGAACTCGTTACTGCGTTTTCACCGCTTAGGGCGTTTGGGCTGGTTAGGGCGGTGCGGGTGGATATATGTAATTATGTGCTACCCCTCATGTCACAATGACATCCACGTTCTGATATTTAGTTGGTCGAAATGTGTTGTTGAAGATACTACAGTTATCTTGTCTTCCCAATCTCATAACGTCTTTTAGGGAGAAAATCTACAAGCCTTGTGATAACATTACCATGTGAGCTGACTACGAATCACATGTAGCGTAAAAATATCAAAATCGTTGTATTTCACTTATTATTATCAATAAGTAATTTATTTACTGCATCACATCAAAGTAACGGATACTTGTAGAAAGGATTTTAAATTTCTACTCGGTTTGGATCTTATCCAAACCCAGATTTTTTTCTCACTCTCAATACTCACCATACTGAATACTCGGATTGACATGAAATTTTATCAGCTTTTTCAACTCGTTTATGAATCCATAAATATAAATTTTTAAGTCTTACGAAGTATTGTAAGTAGCGTTTTTCAAACAATATTTGGTTCAAATATAGATTCCTCATTTTTATTCATTTACTTGTGTGCGAGCACTTGCAGATGTCAATAAAAGGGACTATCGAAACATCAGCTCTGTAAAGTGTTTTAGTAAAATTTGTACAACTGTTTTTTTATGTGGAATATTTTATTAAATATTTTTATAACTATCTGTAATACATTTGAGATCTTTAGTATATTTTATTGTATTAAAGAATGTTCTTCTCCGAGAAGTAAATGATTCTAAACTCTCCACTAAGGATCGATTTAATAGGTATGAGTTTCCATCAGGTAGACGATAAACAGGTAGTAGGTAGTCCAAAATATAGTATCCGATAAATGAAGAATGGAGAACTGTTAGGGAATACTTTATTGTATGAGTTACTTTAGGGACAGTAATTGCTGATTGCCCTTCCTGATTTAGTGCTTAGCGATGTACATTCCTTAAAAACAACTTCAAATGAAGAATGTCAAAGAGGTTCTATGTTGTGCTTACTACAGTCGAACGGTGACTCAGGAGCATTCGGCTGAACTTGCTCTGTAGCTCATTCTTTCCCCGCGCTCCATTTTCCTCCGGGAGAAATTCGAACCTCTTTGTCAAAACTCTAAACTTGAGCCAGACCGCACTGACGTCAGTCGGAAGTATTAACCCACAGTTGAGCTCTGTGCTCGGGATTTGTTCCTGGTCGAGAGCACGAGTAGTATCCAAATGCCCTTTCTTCCTAACATGTGTAAATATGCATCGTGACTGGTATTTTGCTTGAAAATGTCATTGTGTATCAAAATATAGCAACTACAGGTTTCTATAAATAGAAAATATGTAGATTTTTAACTTATTCTACTGACATTTACTTTACTTTCCTTTTTAATGATTTGCATATGGGTGTGAAATTGCGATACTATTTTTATTCATGATGGTAAGTGAAAATATGAAAATGTTTGTTTTATTTACGCCGACATTGAAATTTCAAAACGAAACCGTTTCTGTAAATGATTAATTGGTGCCGAGACACTATCCTTACATCCACTTCGGAATTCACAATGCGATATTAAACTGTAGTCAATTGAAAACCAATAAGCTGTATTCTTGTGCTTTCGATACAACAACAACAGCCCGCGCTATGTAGCGGTCAAATGGGACGTCTACTTTGCCGTGCGCAGCGCCCCTAAGCAAAGCAATAGCAAAAGCTCCGCGCACGAGCGCTATCGTCTGGATCGTGTGAGGTCCATTAAATGCATCTCCACCGTCACTTCAGTTTGGTCGAAAATGTTGAGTCGTGAGGACCTCCGATTTTCTGTTATTTTTTTATTCGGAAGTAATATGTTTTGGAAACGTTTTTTTGATTTGGTGTAGCAGTAGAATATACTGCAATATTTTCAATAGCATTTTGTAATAGTGACTATTAACTGTGATTACGTTCAAGGGACATATTTCTGTATTCTTGTTATGTGGACTGATGTGGTGCCTATATTATATTCAAAACCTTGTTAAAGTTTTTTTGGCATTCTGGAGTTGGTGTTGAACGTGAAATAACATCACATCTTTGACACAATTTCTTAAAGACAGTGCATAGACATAGTCTTAATATTTCAACTTCTATCTCCTTTCTTGTAAAATATACCATAAAGTATTCTTTACACATTCGTTGGAATTAACTCTCCTAAAATTCAGAAAAGGAGGAAGAATATATACTTGAAACATTCAAGCGTGACCACAAAAAAAGAACCTTTGTTCAAAAGTACACTGAAAGTCAGAATAGTTCAGGGGGAAAGAGGAAGTGAGAGAGGAAACATGAGAGAGAGAGAGGGAGAGGGAGAGGGAGAGAGAGACTGGATCGATAATCAGGGAGACGGGAAAGATAAATACGAGAATGGTTGGGAGAATGCAGTAGCGATAAAATTAAGACGGAGACATCTACAAAAGGGAGAAAAAGAATTGGGAAGGACAGTGAAGGAAAGCGATCTGCAAGAACAGGAGAGACAAGGAATGAGGAGAGGGGAATATGCAGCGGGGTGGGAATGAAGGGCGGAGTGGGAGAGACAGGTTGAGAAAACCAATGGCCTTATTCGTTGCTTTGGTCCGTGCTATTCAGGGAGCACTGACGTTGCAGGGCAGCCCCAAAAAGAGCGACGTGGACCAACGTAGAGCATCCCCTGGCGCCGGGAGGGTTGCCAACCCGGGTCGCCCAGAGACGTGAATGCCCTTCGTGATGGAGTGCACCTCGTATATAGCGTCGGAGGCGCGGCGGCTGCCTCGCAAAACAAACAAACCGCCTCCATTCAAAAGCATCACGCGGGAGCGCGTCCAGCTAGGGCAATGACACACAGAACGCGTAATGTTTACTTTTCTAACACATTTTTTGGTAGTTGTCCCTTTTACTTATTTTAATTAATAAGTTGTTTTTACCATCAGAAGAGTTTCATTCATCTCCACTTTGGAGAACACCAAGGTAGATTTAGATCGAAATTACATTAATTAAAAGTATAGAAGTATGAAAGTAAGCTATACAAATATATGCAAATTAATTCAGGGGTTGAAAGGCGGCTTTTTTCACAGAGTTGCACTACGGGATCTCCCATGGGATTTTCTTATTTAATGAAAAGTCTTAACTTATTTTATTGCAGAAGATCACATAAGCAGGAGAGCCCTGAGATTATCAATTGAGTCCTTAAAAAGAAGTAAAAATTGTATTCTCATTGTAGAATGTTTCATCCACGTACTGGTGAAATAGGACCTAGGTAAATACAAAAGCACAATGGTTAAGATGGGTCCAGAAGCGTAGTTGGCGCCCTCTGTTGCTTTAGGCGGCGCGCACCAGTGGCGACGCCACGCCCCTGTGGACGTGGCTGGCGCGTTGGGCCCCGGCGCGTGGGGGCGGCCGCGGGCGCACCATTTGGGCAATGCCCCCTGGCGCCGAGCGCAGCCCAGAAAATTACAGCCGGGCCGCTCGCCTCCAATGGAAACGGTGGTGACGCTTCGGGTGGCGAGTTCTACTCGTGCACCTCCCTGCATGAACTAAAAGAACAAAGCGTGTACGTTATTAAAAAGGTGCACAGATGAGGCATGGGCTGCTAGGTCACGTGTAGGCTCACCCAGTGTTAAAGAGGACGCGGATCACATTTTTTTGTTGCGTTTTTGCGTGGAAGCTTGCGTTTTATATAATCACTCTTCATTCAAATACTGATGTGTATTTGACATTTTTTTAGGTTCCGGTTAATGGAGATCAGCGACTAGTATTGGGCTCTGTTTGTATTTATTATCCACGCCTGGTGATAAGGAAGATATGTGGCGATTGTGGCATATTCCCATCACCGTATCTACCATACTTGGACGCCCTGCGCTCTTCTTTCGTCACGCGGCTGTTGAAACTGAGAAACTTGTATTAGAGAGCTATTGCTCTATTTTTGCCCCGACCGGGAATCGAACTGGGGATTGTACCCCGGAAAGCTAGCCCTCTCTCCACGAGCCACCCGAGTGGCATGCTTTTACTGATGATTTTTTTATAAATAATTGATTCCGGCGTATTTCTGATCTTCCACAAATGCGTCAAATTTGCAACCTCCAAAGTGAACAGGTTTCACATTAAATGAAGTCGTAGGCTTCCGCGACCAGAGTCATGTGGGTGATCTGGGCTGTCCGGGTGACGCCGCGTCGAAGGCTGAGTTGCCGACGTTTCGACCATCCTGTCGTGGTCTTCCTCAGGCATACCAGCCCTGACCACCCAGGGACAGCCCAGATCACCCAGGTTTCACATTAAACATCACGGAGTGATATTAGCGCCGCTACTCTTGCAACCTGAAGTTTTGTGTTTGTTCCAAAGCGCTGTGTGACTTGGTCAAAACTTATTAAAGGCTGGGCAAATCGCCTGCAAAATGATGATGGGTATAAAATTCGAATTTCACATGTGAAGATGCTAATCCAGCGATTTCCAGCTTTGTGTGGTTTAGCAAAACTTTTTACTGTTTGTGCAAACTTGGGAGAAAAAGATGGTGTTAAAAATTTTAAAATTCCCTGATGTAGGTGCCAGTCAGTTTTAAGTCCGAAATTTGTATTGCTTGGGCAATGCTATGGTGTAATTCATTTGATTTTTGTAGAAGATGGAGTGCCTGTGTGACATGTGTGCATTTGCCTGCGCAGGGATGGAGGCGCTGGACACGGCCGTCAACTACTGGGAGGACGCGCTGGCGGCGTACACGTCGGAGCGCGCGGGCGGCGGTGGGGGCGGCGACGCGGGGGACGGGGCCGGGGGCGGGCCGCTCGCGTCACCAGAGAGCGAGCCAAGGGGGAGGCCATGGAGTTTCGTGCGCGACCTGCAGATGCTGCTCGACGCCGGCATAAGCTGGCAGTCGGAGAGCGAGGCCCCCCCCCCTCAACTCATTCACTCCTCACTCGCTCACTCATTCACTTACTCACTCACCCACCGACTCATTTACTTATCCACTCGCCAACTAATTCACACACTCGCCCAATATATTATTTATTTCTTTATTTTTGCATTGCTATTCTGGGACCCTTCAATACCTACAGGGCCATTGAAGCCCATGAGTTGTGATTGAATACACAGCGATATGATAATGAGGTGAATAAATATCAAGAAATATTGCCATGAGAGACACGGTATGCAGGAGAATCCAAAGAAAGCCTGCTGAGAGCTCGCTTTGTCCGTCACAAATTCCGCATGGGCTGGCTGGAAATCAAACTGGAGATGGAAGGAAGGCATTATTCTTTCTTCCCGAACCGCCCAGTCACTGTCAATAAGGGTATTCCAACTAAATTAATACACGCGGCGATAAGTAACTAGTTGCTCTGCTTTCTGAAAGCACGAAACCCGAATTTATCCCCCGCATGTGTCAAGATGGAAACGAGTTGACCCGGATGATCGGAAGCCGCTGCCACATGAAACTACCTAATGACTGCAGACCCGATGTATCATCGAGAGTATGCATTAGCTTGGGAGGGCCTACCTATCAAACTGAAATTATCGACTGTTCAGGGCGTAGCTTTAGTAGTGCAACGGTCCCGCATCTTAAATGTCCACCAATGAAGCCCAATGCTATCGCCGGGCCGTTGTGCGGTTCTGACCTTTTCCCTCACTCACACATCATAAAAACACACGTAGACATTTACAACTGTTCACTGCTTATTTAATCATAGTAACACAAAAAAATTAATATTATTTCCTTATATTTTTTATCTTTCTTTATTTATAACACAAAAGCAGAACGGTCATTGTTTTAATTTAATTTTGACGAATCTTTTAATACAAACACTCAAGAAAAGTAAGTATTGAAGGGTTTTAATAATGTGTATATTGTAGCTAATGATGATGTCAGTGAAGATACTTAAGATCCTTTTTTACGAAAGAGCGTGATAGTTTAATAAAAGAAGGAGATGAAAATAAAAAGTAAGTGTGTTAGTATACTACAAATCTTCAACTTTTGCATTGTTATTTGTAATATTTATTTTCATGAAAATCAGTATTGTGTTTGTGATAAATTATGAAGTAGAATGAACTGGGTACTTTTTTTACCTTCATTAATTTTAGGGGAACTTAAGCACGAACTAACTACGGGGACCTCTGATATGAGTATTAAAACTGGGTAACCAAAATAAAAACCATATGGAAATAAAAGTGTACCTATCAGTTTACAAATTAATATTGAAATAATAAATACATTGTACAATAAATGTATTTGAAATTAAGTTTCAGGTACATGGTAGCGGCAATATTTTAAACAAATTATTTTTATCTGATTTAAATTTATTATTTTTGGGTGTCGGTATCAAAATAGTTAAGAATTATTTTTACGAATTTATGGCACATTAAAATAATGTATGAATAATTTTACTCTAAAAATAATTGGGGAATCCAAACACAAGCATAGTCTGCTTACGTTTTCAGTAATCGTATACTTTATTATATGTTGTATGTCTTACTTGAATATTCAATTTGTAAATCGAGTGGTCATAGTTTTAAGATCGTACTTATTTTGATTCAGGCCGAAGTACTTACGAGCGTATACCTTCTCAGCGCTTCGGTCCGAAGGGTCGTGTTTGTCCATTGTATCTCGTGTATGTGTTCTCACGGAGGACCTCGCGTTCTGCTGATCCAAGATCGGAGAGCCCGCAAGTGTGTTATTGGTTGAATTGGCGTCCCACCGGCACATGAAGGGTAACCGGCTGACGGCTGGACATAAGCCCTAGGGAGAGAGATTAGAGGACCTCGAAGTTGGTCGTGCTTAGAGTATTACTCGCGCAACTTTTCTTGAACGATGACCTTGCTTCCCCCTCTCTGGCACAATAATCAGATGAAGGCAAAAGCTCGGAGCGAGCACCGATGACAACATTCCAAATAAATCTTCACTAGCGCGAAATAGAAACAATTTTCTTTTGAAGACGAGAACTTTTACCTGTTATTTCTTCCAAAACTCTAAAGAAATGACCGAATCAGGTAAAGATCTATCACAGGAGATACCTCGAACTCCTAAGAAAGTTAGAACGCAAATTTTTGAGAACGTTGCGAAGGCATGTCTGATTCTCCAGAGATTGGCATTGCTTGATCAAATTTAGTGGCCGATTTCGTAACTAATACCCCCACTCCATCCGCTTTTCTTCAATCCATCGTTCAAGAAAAGTTGCGCGAGTGATACCTTATATTCTGATTTAAATGGAGTGACTTCCGACAGACCATCAGCTGTTATCCAATCGGGAGCTTCAACGCCAAACATGAAGGTGTCCGAAACGAAGCTCCCGATTGGACAACAGCGCCCTCCCCCGGCGGCTGTGGTGAGCGCGGCGTGCGCGGCTGTTGCAGCGGTCGGCGCTGTTCCGCACGGACAGCTCCTCGCGCCTGCTGGGCGACGGCGCATCCTCCTACCTCACCTCCACGCCCGAGTCCTTCGTGTCGGCGCAGGACGAGGTGAGCATTCGCACGGCGCCTCTGGGCTCAGGTCAGGCGCTTTGGCTGGTTGACCCAAGGGCACGCCTTCGTCCCGGATCAAGGCGGGGGAGTTAATTCTTGGGGAAAGGAAGGAAGGAAGCGGTCCTAGGTCATGTATTACGAAAGAACGAACTCGAACACTCTGCTGATGTCTGTCAACGTAAGCCATCGCCCCTTGATTTCAAATTGAGTGATTAGACAATAATTCATGCTTCATGACAGGAATCTTGTCAATTGAAAATATAATTATTTGTTTATCTTCGTATTACATGATGTAGAGTTACGTGGCTCTTTTTACTGACTTGGAAGATTCATCGAAATAACAATCAGTAGACTAAAATAACTCTCTTAGAAGGAAAAGTAAAATTAAGTGACTCAACAAAAAATCACTGATCATGTAATCCCTTCATAGTTCCAAATTCTCAGCTCAAAAGACTCCGACGTATTTGCCTAATATCCCAACTCGTATCACATTTAGTGTCTCTTCAAATGGAGATATTTCCATCACAGCAAACGATTAAGTAAATGAACAAAATGTATAATTAAGTGTGGACTACTAGTCCCTTTTGAATATGTTAAAAAACTATTTAATAGGGGAATACGTCTTTTAAAACATTCAAATACTCCGATCAGTTGAAAATAAAAATATGTTGTTTGAAAGTGGAAATAGCTTAATTTGAAGAGACTCGTTACGAAGGGCTAAGGGAAGTAACGAGAAAAAGCCGAACCAGTCACAGCAAGAAATCCCGATGAGTCAATATTAATGTCGATTTTGCGGAGTATTGTGACTTATCTTGTTACTACATATGTTTTCTTCACTTTTATGAATGCAGAAACAAGATGAGATACACCGACATCGATATAATAACATTTACATACAGCGGTTCATGTATTTTCTTACTACTCCCCCTTCCTAAATAAAAATACCGAGCTCTGCTGGTGCCTGTGAATGGTAGCGTGATGCGTAAACTCTGCCGTTGGCGCACATGTAACGAAAGCAATAGAGAAGTTTTGCTCACGAGCTAAATCAAATTGAGCAGCAGCTCTTTCTTGCTGCGCGATGTACTATCAGAAAGTTTATTCTGAAGGTGGTTCACGGCATCACGCTCGAACGTTGGCGTTTTCATGGTGCGAGAGGCCATTGCATTAATCATATGAGGACCCAACCTTATCGAAACTGTCTTGATTTTAAGCGGCGAGAATTTCAGATCACTGGTGTATCGAGTTGAATTATTTCAGATTTGCCAAAGACAGACTTCCAAATTGAAGGGAAGATTGAGTATGTTCTAAGCTATTCGAAGGGCTAAGAGTTCCAAATTCTAAGTCAGTACCGAACATTTTCGTGTTAGCAATGGCGTAAGAGGTCATACTCTCCACCCCCCTTTCTGCAAATAAACTCGAGTGGGATTGTTAAGATTTCAAGTCCATTCCAGTAATTAAAATAAACACTAAATTGTATTATTGGGGTTAATTAATGTTTTCAATTTAATCGAGTTAGAACGAATCGTGGATTTCCCCGAATCCTAAACCCGAAAAGTCTTCAGTGCCTCGGGAATCGTTATAATCTGTCGTAGAATAGAGTTAGTATAGTTTAGACTGCATTATAAATAAAATACACCTGTTGAGAGGAACACCTGTTATTCAAAAAATTAGCGGCACAGGGGCACAAGACGATAGACGCCTTCTCTGCGAAATTTTCGTTGCATAGAAGAAATTGCTTTAGGACTCGACATACGGCTGACAAACGGTCCTTTCTTGGCAAGGAGCACCTAAGCCTAAAAGGAATTCTGAATTTCCGTTTTCGTATATATCAAAATCTTCGTTTTGGCTCGTACACTTTTGTTCCCCTGACGCCCAGTTATTGAGAGGGAGCAGTTGAAGTAAAGAATTGGTTTCGATACAGTTGAGACAGTTGAGAATTAAAATATTCATTATGTTCTGAAGCGTAAAAATTAATTGAAATTTATGTTTTTATGATAAAAATATACTGTCCCGAACAGTTAGTGGAATAGGGAGGGAGAAATATATATAGAAAATTCAAAGAATCGTTTGGATTCGAAAAATTAGAATAACAAAAAATCAGCGAGATTCGACATTTCAAAACGTTTCAAAACTAAAAAGAAAACGATAATTCGAGAATCTGAAAATCTTCTAACGTTTTAAATGTTGTATGGAGTAACAATGTATTTCGTAGATAATTTTTCTTGTTTCTCCTTCATTTTCTGAGATGCATCTCGCCCCCTTGTCTAGGGGCCTTGCCTGGTGTTCGTGGCACTTCCTCGAGTAGATGACGTCAGTACGCTCCGCCAGTACGCTGTGAGCGCAGCGAGGGCTCACAACACGGTCTTTAGATTGCCCATTCTTTTCTTGAATTCGGGGTAGTTATTTTTTAAAAAAA